ATAATAAATATATACTCTATATCATTAATAAATTATTATTTTATTTAAAAAATACTAAATACAATTAAATTTTCTAGGCAATTTGCCTGGAATACAGTTTAAGGGATATATTTTTTTTCAAATATAAAAAAATAAAGAAAAAATTAGCAAAGTTGGGTATATATATATATTGAGTTTGATATATCATATAGGATATATGTGACAAATGGAATATATATATATATTAGATCTTTCGAAAAAAAGAGACTTTATCTTTTAGAATATCCGTATCGAGACATCCAAAGAGACCTACTCTACAGACCTGTTTTATTTTTTCGATATTTTTTAAATTTTTTACTAGATATAAATATCTTATATTTTTAAAACAACAAAAAAGAATAAAGTATTTATTATCATGGTAAGAAAACATATAAAATTTGACGCACCTATATTTTCTCTAGCAGATTATAATTATATTATGCAATGTCGTAATATAGAACCAAGATATAAAATTTTAAAGAATTTATTGGATAAGTATAAAACATCATCAAAATAGATTTATCAGATTTGGAAAGGGAAGAATCTAATAGAGTTGCCTGGGATCAACCTATACCCACTTACAAGATAATGACTCTAATCAAAATACTAAGTATCTTGATAGTAGCTCCAGTAATATATCCAATTCTACTATAAATACCCTTCATATAGAATCTCAACCTTTAGACCCAAAGAGTCATAGCTTTGCTATAAATAATGATCAGTAGACCCAACACAATCAAGTAAGCGAACAAAAACAAAGAGATCCAAATCTGTTTGAGTATTGAACCCACCTGTTATTTCTAATGACTCAACAGAAAAAATAGATATAGAAACAGTTGCTGATTTTAGATGTGCAGTAGAAGAAGGTAGGGAGAATTTAGCAAAAACAGAGTATAGGATCGATTAGATATAGACTCTAAACTTTATCTATTCTCTTTATTTTTACCAGATAACCCAATATAATGTTGAGTAAGGGCATTGAGATTGACAATAATTTTAGTTGCATCATATATTTTTTTCACATACCTCTCGCAATTCACACATTTTTTTTTAATGGTATATTGTCATCATCGCTATCTATAGCAAAGCTATAGCTCTTTGAGCCTACATCCTGTAAGATTTTATTAGGTATTAAAGTATCAGTATTTTGAGATATGGTTACACAATTCACCTCTAATTTATTTTTAATCTTGTGCATATTGATCGGAATAATGACTTTTTATCATTATACTCCAACCTCAACTGGCGATTTGATGCAAGTAGATCGTAATTATATTTATCAAGCAAAGTATTAGATAAAATCAGTATCGGCTTATAATGTCTAACAATGGCAAAATCAGAATATATAGTACAACCTGGGGTGAAGATTACTGGCACATTACAGATGATTTCAATAAATTCAGTGGGTGATGTAGCAATTCCGCTAAGATCATGTTTTTTCATTATATCGATTACAAATTTTAAACATTTAACAATGTCTTCAGTTATAATTAGAAAATTTGCACCAGGATCAACCATGGCTACCGGAATTACTAATCTTTTAATTTTACACTTTGTGGTAATAACATCTTTGGCTGTATCTTTTTTCTGAACGAAATCAATTTCTATAGGATCGTCTAACATCACTTCTTCACTATCCGAATCAGGTATTTCTGGAGCTAGTTCTCTATAATTTTTAGCAGAGATAGTTTTACTAAAATCAAATTTTTGAATAGATGGAGCTGAAGTGAGTAAACTCTCAGCATGAGCTGGTATATTGGTGTTAATCTTAGCTTTGAGTTTTTCTATTCAATCTATAGGTGCAATACTATCAAGCATATCTAGTACAACCCTTTGAAGAGATTTATCAATAACAGTAGATTTATTTCATAACTTACTAGAATTGGGAATCTTCTTCTGGTCTCCTTTGCAAGGCTTGAATGGATTTCCAGCTCGAAGCTTTGCTTTCTCTTTTTTGATTTTGGATTGCTTGGGTTTATTCCCAGATGGTGATTTTGTAGAGTTGTTCTTATGTTTTACTTTTTTTTTACCTTACTAATATGAACCTTAATGTTACTTTCAGATTCAGATTTGGCTGAGGATTCTTCAAAATTGGACCCCGATTCAGAGCCAGAATCAGAATTATTATCAAAAGAGTTAGTATCTGAATCTGACTCAGAGCTCGAATCTACAGTAACCTTATGGACATTACCTTTTTTATTTTTGGATCTACTCTTCTTTTTCTGAGAACACTTACGAGAATTATGCCCAGTCCTATTACAGTTTGAGCAACGGTGTTGTGTTTTTGTAACTTTTTTAACAGCCTTAGCTATGTGCAACTTCAACTGCTTCTTCGTAAGATTGGCTAATTCATCATTGGAGTCAACTTCAACTTTCTTTATTACTGGTTTTGGAGACAAATCGGGCTTGGAGATAAAAACAAATTCTAAAACCTCCCCAGTAATCCATTGTACAAATCTATCCATTAATATATCTTGCATTTTTTGATATGTGTCAGGAGATTGTGATCCATAATAAGGTTGAGGTGTCTGCAATAGTTGTGATAGCTGTATTTGCTGAGGAGCTGATTGTAAAAAAACGGATTGGGATTGTATAGATGTTATTAATTTAGATGACAATTTATAACTAAACTGGGGTATTTTATTAACTAATCCTAATTTTTTCTCTGCTCTTCACATTTTAATTCGCTCTAAATTTCAAAAAGATCAGCTAATGGTTGCTCAGTACCAATGCATTCTGCATCATCCTCCAAGTCTAAAGACAAACCTCTTAGAAATTGTCCCTTAATCTGTTGCTCATCAAGATTAAGCATTTTTCCATATTTTAAGAATTTTGAGTAAAAGTCTCTTATAGGTTCACCTCCTTGAGCTAATGATCTATAAACTAAATTGCGCTTTTCACTTATTACTATAGGATATTCATTTCTGAGCCAATATAATGCTTGACCAATCTGAATGTCACCAAATACTATAAGATTAGTATTACTTGCATTAACAGTATTGGCAGGTCTATCTAATAGATGTCTTCTAGCTAAGCGCCAATCTTCAGTAAAAGCTTCAGCTAGAATCATAGAAATACCTATGGTTACTACATTATTACTAGCAGTATTTGCATAGTTATGGGCAATTGAAGGATTTCTAAAGCTATTACTAGTATTCATCTGTGCCATAGTGCGTCCCTGAAGAGTACCCATACCAACCTAGCCATGATTTGCAAAAATATTGTGAAGTTCCCATTGTTTACCAAGAATTTTTCGATCAAACCATTCTAATACTTGCCCATATAGACACTCTCTAAGAATACCAAATGCTTGATCCCAATTGGCAACTAGGTCTATACCAGTGCTAGCTAAATATAATGATAATCGACTAATAAAAATATCAATATCCTTATCATATTCATCTAAAAAATTTGGTAGTGATAGTGGTTGTAATGCCATATTTGCTTGTATATTTATAGATAAATTATTCTGTAGCATAAAAATTTGTTGATTTAAAT